TAGCCTTTGCAAAGAAAATCCGCCTGCTTCCAAGCCTCAACAACCATGAACTTTTCATTGTCCGACATGTCTGCAACAGGCACTAGAGGCTCTTCACTAGTGAATTTCTGCATATCAAGTGAGACAGAAGAACACCCTTTGCTGCCATCCTTTAAAGTTGGCTCTAGAAAATTTCTCCGGTTTCTCGGCCAGAGGAACAACAGTGCGGCTTGACGAGGCTATCGTCGTTGCACCAACAGTCGCAGAAGGATTTCCATTATCAATTGCCATTTCTCACTGTCAACAACAGAAGAGTTCAATTAATGGCAAAATCAGAACAGTAAATAATACTGTAATCAATAAACAGTACGTAATAAAAAACAACCAAAGTTTTTCTATATTGTTTTACAGAAAAACGATGAAGTTTTTATGTTCTTCAAATCGTTTCTGAATTTCAATACTCTGATGAAGTTTTTATATCTTCAAATCAGAATAGTAAAATTCTGACGGAGTAGAAAACCACACAGGTTTTAATCTCCACAAACAGAATACAAAATATAATAAAGTAGTTTCCTTAAGATTGTTATTAATCTGTATTGCTGTAAATAAATAAAACAATAATCTTTCTAAAAACAGAAATAGAAAGTTAGTAGAAATAAATTCTGAAAACAGTATTTGAACTTCAAAATAAATTTTGAAAACGGTATAGAAACAAATCGGGTCCACTGAATATACAGTGTGTCCTTAAGGAAGTTACTCCCCTCAAGTACCCGAGGTTCTAGAATATATCCTCCCAAGATAGAACGATTTAACTCATCAGAATGTTGGTACCAAAAATGCCGATGAACAGTGAACCACTCGAAGGCTGTAAAACACACTGAAATTTTTGTGCAGAAGAAGAAGAAGATTATCAGAAAATTTCATAAGTAAATATTCTGGGATTTGAAGGAATATTTATAGCCAATTTGGTACTGTTTCTGAAAATATTTGCAACCTTTCAGAACAGCCATAACTCTTGGAACAGGTTTGACACTGTTTCAAAACAGCCATAGATGTTGGAAATATTGCGGGAAAATTTAAACGGATTTAAAATAATCCGGAAAAGAAAACGGGCCGAACCGGACCAGGTCGCGGGTCATGAGTTATTTCGGATTGAATTTTCATTTATTAATTAAATATTTAAAAAGAATTTTGTCCAAAAAGATTAATCAATCAATGACCGAAGCCGAAGCCGAGCGAACGAGCGATGACACGAGGCTTGCCTTCTTCTTAACTCTTTAAGAGCTAAAAGATGAGCTTCTTTATATATACACAAAGATTTTCTTTCCGTCTACCAATGAGGGACAAAGTGCATTAGTAAAATGAACTCATTCAAAATTTCACTCCCCTCTATTTCTTTTTTTCCCACCATTTTTCGTTCACACCTCTTTTGTTAGCAGACTCTGAATACAAGAACTGTCAACAAGAGCAAGTTAATTTGTATCAGTCCCCAACTTTCCACAGGTGAATACAAGAATTAGAAACAAAGGCTTCTAGCTATATATACATGAGTTTCTTTGATATATATATACAAAAATATGCACAGCAGAACAAATTTAAATTGGGATAGTCTACTATAGACATCTTTCTCATCCCATCCGAGATCTCCTAAATTTATTACTAATCCAGATTCATATATATAGAACAGAGAGACACAAGTGAAAATTTATCATAAATTGATTAATTTTACGCTAGTGTGTCACTGAACTTCCTCTATAGAATCAACATTGTATAATTGCAACCTAAATGTGTAACCGGCATATGTGGAAGTATTGGAGTCAATTAATCAACCTTTGACTTGTTTATTTTAAGGATCTTATTTAGTGCATTAAACACGGTTAGGATAGGATGCTGTCCCCACAAATTAAAGAACTTGAACATCCTCCTCGTAGCGTGAAGCATATCCTGACAAATCTTTGGGGCCAAGTTAGAGACAATAGACAATATATTTAAGAGTTTAACTTGTACACTGACACTCTCCTGTATAACTTTTTAATATCAAGTTAATTAAGATGACAAATAATAATACATAACTTTCTATAATTTACCTATTCAGTAATATTAAAAACAAAGTAAATAATTTATTATAACAAGTTAAAGCATAATACTCGCTTAAAAACTAATCATATTGTCGATGTATTTAAATCAAATCCTAAGAATAAAAGCCCATATGAGAAGCTTAAAATGTCTTATTAATTATATATTGCCTTGGCTCTTTCTTCCTATATGATGCAAAGAATGACAATCCTAGACTTCTCCAAGAAAAAACTTGAGCATAATACTCGATTAAATTAAACTTTTCTTTTCTTACTTTTATTTTATGTGGGCTTCATATATACTTCAGTATATATGTATGTTTTTCATAATGTTTGGCTTTAAAATTAGCCTGCACCAGAGTATCCTAATAATTCTTTTGTAATGAGAAAGATACATGGGTATTCAGATGCGTGTGGCTGGGTTTTGGTCTCTTCCTTTTATTTATTGAAGCTGCCTACTAGGGGTGCTTTATCTAAACTAGGCAGGAGAACTTGGCTAATTTTCCTACTCTGATAGCATCTCTGAACGGCAGGTACCCACAACCATCATAACGAAGGAATGAATCTATTAAGTGGGAAAGAGCTCTCGTAAGGTCAAAGGAAGCCGACAAACCGTACCAACCCGATAATCCAAGTCAAATCGAGAAAAAAAACCTGACTATAGTTTAGTTTGATTTGGTTTGGTGTTGGAAAAAAAACCAATCATAATTGGTTTGGTTTGGTTTTAACTAAAGAAAGTCAAACTGAAACCAAACCAACCCGACATTACATATATAGAATTTGTTAGATATATTTAATATATAAATATACTTATTGTGGTGTAATTTATCAATATTTCTTAAAAAAATTCATAATTTTATCTTTTAAGGTATTATTTCAAGATTGGATTTAGAACTTTTAAATGTTCCAATAAGTTTTATAGCCATTAATATTAGGAAATTAAATAATGCTAACAAAAGCCCAAACCAAAATCAAATCAATACTAATGCTAACAAAAAACATTCAATTTAATACTACGAAATTGAATATCTATTTTTTGTTTTGCAATAATGTAGATAAAAATGCATAACCTATTTTTATTTTTTCTTTAGCGTTTAGTCATGTAATTAATATTCTCTTATTAGTCTACTTATTTTAGCATGACTTAGTACTTTTAAATTATGTTTATTTTTATTATGGCTTTTTAATTAGCAATATTTACATTACATAATTTTATTGTCTTTATTGTTGAATATTTGAGGATAATGCCATGACAAATCTCATATTTTGTATTATTTTCTTGGAAAATACTTTATATAGTTGTATCTTACTAGGATTAATGAAATATTTTGAGCACAAGTTATATGTTTTGTTCTACGAAGAGGGAAAAAATCCGAAAAATCCGAAAACCCGAGAAAACCCGAGATTGAAACCTGAGTTTTATTGGTTTGGTTTGATCTTTAGATTTAATAATCTGACACAATTAATTTGATTTGGTAATTATAAAATTTGAACCAACCCGACCTATGTATAACCCTACCGCCTGCCTTACAAACAGATTTCCTAGAAAGCCAATCAAGTATTTCCTATCTAACTTTCCATCTTTGTTTATAGAATCTAATCAGGTTTAAAGTTTTTGAAATTCGCCTTACGAAGTGCCTTTTGGCTTGAACGAAGTAATGTTATACAATCAAACCTTTATATAATAATCTCGTTTGTTATGAATATTTTTGAATGTTATAGCAGAGTGATGTTATAAATAACATATATTATAACGTAACATAAAAATTGGTTCCGAAAAAGGTTAACTTTTACCGTGAAGTGATGTTATATATGGATATTGTTATAGAGAGATCTGACTATATATGGTCCACCGTAAGAAAAATATTTCATATGGCTTAAAAATCTCATTAATTTTTACGATTATCAAGTCTGTGAATGTTTTTTTTGTTTTTTGTTTTTTTTTTCTCATAACTACCCAAGATGGTTACCTACGGGAGATTGAAAATTTAAGGGGAAGAAAAAAGAAAAAAAGAAGAAGTTCTACGCACTCATATATAATGTAAAAATATTTACACAAATATATCACTTACAGGGCAATTACATGTAATTTTCATAATATGCATTGATTAGTAACATGATAAAAATGGTAGTTGACATGATATAATAGGTTAAACACACTAATAATATAGAAAATATTTATGTCATCAGTGAATCCCCCC